GTTCCCTCCTGGAGGAAAAAGTGGTCGCCTTCTGCCTAAGCAATTTCGGCTGACCTGTCCCCCTTCGGGACTCCTGTGTGTGAGTAGGCTACACATATCTATTGTGAGTTTGGTATTCACAGAATTTCTGTTTTTGTATTGATATGATTTCTATTTTCGTATATTGATATAATTTAATTTTTATCTTTGGCTGCTCTGTTTATATATACACATGCACAAAAGTTAAGCGCCACCATATTCATAGTCTCTTGATTTCACGTGTGGGAATCAGAAATACGAAATATGATGATGTATGACTGAATTAGGCTTCCATAGTTTCATGAACCCAAATTTGCCCAGATACCACAAGGAAAGCGTGCTTTACGTGTTGCTGCAGTTCCCCTACCCTATAAATACTGAAATTCAAGTTTCAGACACGTGGTTGCATTTTGCTCCTGTGTGAGATTCCCCTTGATTTAAACATATTTATTCACAAGGAGTGAACGGGATTGGGGGACAAGTTCTTCCAACTTAGAATGCCCTCTCCCTGGTATTTACAAAAAAATCGCAATTTCAAATTCAATATATATGCATAAAACATTAAACACTATAGATGAGAGAGAGAGAGAGAGAGAGAGAGAGAGAGAGAGAGAGAGAGAGAGAGAGGGAGGGAGAGAGAGAGATACATTGTTGAATGAACAGTTCTTTACACAAATCTTTTAATTGTGCAAATATAATGTTGTACTGCCTTAAATATAGCTTCATTTTCTGTAACAACGTCATCTGCATTGCCGTATAACAGTAAGTGTACATCAACAGGTATGTTATGAACAATATTTTTAAGGCTGCTTAACATAATTTCACGCTGATGACTAAACAATGGACATTCCATGAGATAATGATATGCATTTTCACATGTATTCGAACATGTACAGTTCGGGTGATCTCTTATACCAATTCTATATAAATCATAATTCAACTGACTGCACATGTATCTCAGTTTTGTGTGTAAGATATTATATTTTCTTTATCCATAAGCGAAGTACGCAGGTGACGTGGAGTGGTGCTTTTGTAACGAATTTTTAAAACAAGAAATCGTAGAATTTCGATCTGATAACGGAATAGAGTTCCACAATCGGATAGACGATGGGTAAAAGGATTCACACGAATGTCTTAGACTTGTGAGAGGAACACTGATGTTTTCAGAGTTTCTGAGACTGTATGAGTTTTTTTGCAGCAACGGTTTTGGGTGGAATATCTGTTAGATAGGAAGGGGCCATGTTATGATTAATTTTGAAGAAAAGACAAAGTTTACGTTTCTTTCTACGCTCAACTAAGGGTTCCCAACCGGTTTCGTAATATAATGAATGCCTTGGGGCATATTTAGGTAGATCAGTTACAATGCGTGCAGCTTCTAATTGTAATTGTTCTAATTTCTCACTTTGTCCTTCGGTGCAACCATCCCAAACCTCACATGCGTATTCAAAGTGTGGTCTTATGAACATTTTATATATATTGTTAATAGTATTTCTGTGAAGTAGATGTTTGAGTTTTCTCATTGAGTAAATCATCTTGGAAGTTGTTTTTATTATGGTATCTATATGACAAGACCATTTGCCGCTGGCTTCAAATATAACACCCAAGTGCTTATGACTGTTTACAGAGCTGATTTCTTTTCCGTTGAAATTAAGTTTTAGACCCCCATTGTTGTCTTTGCGAGAGAATAGAACCGATTTGGTCTTTTCGGGATTGTAAGTTATGAGCCAAAGTTGCGCCCATTCACTTAAGATTGCTAAATTTGTGCTTTTAAAAGGAACGTTCCAGTACACTGTTATCATTGGATGACATGCCAATTGATGTATCGTCGGCAAACAGTCTTGTCATACAGTCTAATTTATCAGCAATGTCATTTACATAAACAATAAAGAGTAAAGGACCAAGCACGGACCCCTGTTGCACGCCAGCCTTCATGTATCTTGGTTGGATATTTCCCCATTCACAAATACGCTTTGGCTACGATTACTTATGTAACTGGTAATCCATTTTAACAATTGGCCTTTTATACCATACCTCTCTAATTTGTACACAAGCCCACTGTGCCATACACGATCAAAGGCTTTTGATACATCACAGAATACAATACAATAGTTTTCTTTGTTATCTAACGCTGTACAAATTTGGTGGTAAAGTTCTATTAGTTGATGGACAGTTGAGTGACCAGCCTGAAACCCAGATTGGTACTTATACAACAATTTGTTCTCATGAAAGTAATTATATAAATGTTTGAACACTACTCTCTCAAACAATTTTCCTAAACAACTAATGAGTGATATCGGTCTATAATTAGAAACGATAGTGTGATCACCTTTCTTAAATAATGGCATAACGTTTGCTTTTTTCCACACTAATGGAAATATACTTGATTGTGGTGACATTGAACAGTCAACACAATGCTTCGCTTATAGAATATACAGTTTTCTTTAATAATTTATGACAAATTTTGTCCGGTCCGGAGGCTTTATTCAGGCTGTACATCCGCTTCGTCTAGAGCTAGCTTCGCCATTGTGTCTGTTTTTCATTTCTATGAATATCTATGTGAGAGGGGTTCCAACACAGCTCCAGCTGTTGCGCTTGGTCCGATAGTTTTGTATATTCGTATAGAATATTGATGACTGTGTTTGGCCTGGAGTTTGAGTTTCTGCCACGGATGGCTTGAAGTGCACATAGCGAGTCTAATAGGACGGCTGCCTTTGCTTCCGGAAGTTCAGGTATGAGTTTGAGTGCATGATGAATTGCCTCCAATTCAGCAGTGAACACTGACTGACCATCAGGCAGGCGAACCGAATGTGCATGGAGTTTGGAGCTGTGGATATGGATCCCGTAACCAGCACTTTTATTGATAGGATTCTTGGATCCATCAGTTAATATAGGCCCAGCTGTCCCGGGTAGTTTGAATTTTAGTAATAGCTACTGATCGTAGTAGGGTTGGGTTTTCCTTTTTAGTGACTTCTGATGTTAAAGCAGTGTCCACTTTGGGAGTTTTTAAAGTCCAGGGAGGGTGTAACCCTTTGTAGTGACTTTCTGGAGGCTGAACGTCATCACAATTGTGACTTCGGATGAGTTCTTGTACAAGTATCCCAGATGGCTTTAGAGAGGGATTTTTCCGAGCTAGGGCTTAATCTCGAGTGTTTTCGTCTTGACATATCTTTTTAACCAAAGGGTTTGATGTTCGTCCCCAGAACGATAATATTGCCTGCTCTCTTCTTAGTTTATACTTGTAGTGCTTCTATTGAAGTGCCTGTGGCCAGCATTAGGGCTTTGTATTGTATTCTGTCGAGGCGGCTCAAGACAGTATTTGATGCTGAGTGAAAGGCCTCACAACCATAGTCTATTTTTTATCTGATAGGTGGCTTGTAGAGATCCAGCTGAGTGTCCCTCGATGTGCCCCAAGATGTGCCTGAAATTGCCCCATAATACGTTCAGGTCTGTTTGACATCTGTTTTCCACACATTCTATATGTTTGCGCCAAGTGAGGTGTTGATCAAGGATCACCCCGAGAAATATTGCAGATTTTTCGAACATGATTGGTTTGCCCTTTATGGAGACACAGGGTATAATAGCATCTTTCCAACTGCATTTGAATAGAACTCCAACAGTGTTTTCACTTGAAATGGTAAACCCCCATTTATTGCACCATTGATCTACTTCATCCAGGGCTGACTGGAAGTTTCTTTCGGATTTGTGAAATATCTCTGTGCTTTACCTATATCGGCGAATTTAGAAGTTTGGGTAGGAGAGTTGACATGATCAAAAAGATCATTGATCATGATATTAAACAGGGTTGGGCTTATAATGCTGCCTTGTGGCGTGCCATTTTCCAGTGACATAGGATCAGATTGATTGTTCCCTATTTTAACTGATAGCGACCTGTCTTGCAGGAAGGTGTCTATGAAGTTTGCCATGTTCCCTTCTGCTCCATTTTGTGCTAGTTTTGTGAGGAGTCTGACATGCCATACCATGTCGAAGGCTTTGCTGAAGTCCAGAAATACCGCGGCTAGGTATTGTCTGTTTGATTGAGCTTTTTTTATTCCATTTTCCAGTCTTAGAACATAATCTAGACATGAGTGTCCCTTCCTGAAGCCGCTTTGGTCAGGTTTGATTTGGTTGTTACTTTCAAGGTGATGCATGAGCCTTTTTGTAACCATGGCTTCCATAGCTTTGCACGTGTTTGAGGTGAGTGAGATCGGTCGATAAGAATTTGGTAGGGCTTGGTCTTTACCTTGCTTTAGAAGCGGGAAAACTGCAGCATGTTTCCATGATTTTGGGATTCTCCTCAGGGAGTAAGCTTTTGGTTTGGTCAGGTAGGTTTTTTAATATCTCATAACTGGTTGTGTCAAGACCAGGTGCTGTGCCTTTTTTATAAGGCTTTCCACGTGTCTTGCTGATATGGGGCTGCATTGTAGATTGTCGTACACAATTATTATCTACTGTTGAATAGCCTACACTAAAAGTACCTTGATATTCAGATATTTTATTCGTAGCATGGACCGAAAATACAAATATCTTGTTAATATTAAAAGTAAATATTTTATTGAAGATTCATTACAGAGTTATCAATCTGTAATTATTGACATCATTGGCAACACCGATATTATGAAGCGTAACTAAAATACCTGTGAAATTGTGCTTGTGAAACCATTATTTGTAATAATCGTCCGATACTGTTGCTGTTTGCAAAGAAACTAGTGAAATACAAAAAAAACAGTCAGCAATATTACTAATACTTTCAACATAATTTGTACAAATTTTCTCACAGCCCAGAAGGTCTTTGACTGACATTAGTTTATATAGACACTGCCTAGTAAGGCGTATACAAGTAAAGTAGTACAGTAAAATTATTTCAGAACCATCTGACTACATTTCCATCTATTAATTATAGGCCCGTCAAGGGTGGATGCAGACAGACAGGCTTTAGACAGCTCTTTCACTGTGGTGTAAGCCTTTCATGAATAAAATACACTATCGGATTGTGGGCTCACTAAGAAGTCAGCGTGACATTAGCTGCATGTTTTGTAGTGGTAATTACGTGTTGTTGATATGCATGTCAAACCAGCTATCCACTTGGTGTCTAAACTCTCTGAGATGTTAAAGGTGAGTCGTAACGGATTGCCTTGTTACATAGACGTAGTCGTAGGTGGGGCTAGGTGGTGGGGCTAGGGGGGTGGGGCTAGGGGGAGTTGGGATACACGTCATCGGGCAATATGAAACACAGGCAGTCAGGCAACGCACTGTCCCGCCACATTATCCTAGATTCCTGGATATGTTTGATACCCTGGAATCCCCACGGTGTGCGATAGTGCTGAATACACTGGTACAAACGAGGTTGTTAACATGTAACTAGGTTGGGCAATACAAACATACACTGGAGACACTGATTCGGGACACAGTTTTGTTATGTGAAGTTTCGGCATGGCAGGCATTTCCTGCAGCCATTACGCCCTTTGAACAACACACGTGTTCGGGTTAAGCGGAAGCGTTACCACAGCTGTAAATTGGGTTTCATACGATTGTGGATTGTCGTGTACACAGCATAGTGTACATGTAAATATACACAGTATTGGGTGCAAGTAAAAATAGACAGTATATAGGCCAGGAGAAATAGAGTTTGACCCTAAGCAAATTGCAACAGAAATAAATCAAGCTGTTTTGTACTCAGTCAACACATAGTGAACACTATACTAAAAGTCTTCGTGAATCCATCGAGGGGAAATATTTTAATTCGACTCTAATTATATAAGTAATTAATATACTCTTTAAAAAATATGAATTTTTTTTGTTGAAATGTATTCAGCTTGGGACATATCATTTTAAAGCTTTTGACAAAACAGTATACTTTATTTCATCACATGAAGGATGCCTCTCATTGTTGACCTCCACTGACTTAATGTCCTGCTTGGAGAGCGGAAGGTCCAGGGTTCGATCCCGGGCCGCGTCATACAAAAAGACGTTAAAAGATTGTACTTGTTGTTACCCTGTCTGGCGCTCGGCATTAAGGGGCTAAAACAAGGACTGGTCGGCTCGGAGTCAGTATACTGTGTCTGAGTGGGGTATTCATGTTAAACTGCGGCATGGTATCTCAGTGAGCTAGCACTATAAATCGGCATCAGTCCGGACTAGTACAAGCAGCCAAACACACACATACACGTGCATGCACGTCGCTATATAAGTGCAATAATCTTGGACGCGACGTTAAACCCAATTTCACCTCACCTGCTTTATAAGCTTGGCTGCTGTTTGGGCAATCTGGAGTTTTTCTTTCTCAATGTCTTTCTTTTTGGGTTGCTGGTAGAAGTCATGAAGAATGGACGAGGCCGTACTTGTAAATGTTACAACATTATGTTTTCCAATGATATCAGTTATGTTCATGCAAACGCTTCTTCACATAGGGATGGCTGTATGCTTCAACATCTAAGATATCCTCAATGTAATTCACCAAGTCAGTAATAGAAATCTGTTCATCATCATTTTCCTCAAGGAAGCTTGCTACAGATTCAAAAGCTGCTGCCCTTTCAAAATCTTCTGGTCGTCCCTGTTTAGACTTCTTGGGAGGGTCTTCAGTTTTGTCAATTTGAGACAGTATAGAGTGCAGGTAAAGATACACAGCATAGATTTTGAGATAAAGATACACAGTATAGAATGAAGGAAAAGATACACAGTATAGAGTGCAGGAAAAGATACATTTTAGAGTGAAGGAAGGATACACAATATAGAGTGCAGGTAAAGATACACAGTATAGAATGCAGGTAAAGATACACAGTATAGAATGAAGGTAAAGATACACAGTATAGAGTGCAGGTAAAGATACACAGTATAGAGTGCAGGTAAAGATACACAGTATAGAGTGCAGGTAAAGATACACAGTATAGAGTGCAGGTAAAGATACACAGCATAGATTTTGAGATAAAGATACACAGTATAGAGTGCAGGTAAAGATACACAGTATAGAAAGAAGGAAAAGATACACAGTATAGAGTGCAGGAAAAGATACAGTATAGAGTGAAGGAAGAGTACACAATATAGAGTGCAGGTAAAGATACACAGTATAGAGTGCAGGTAAAGATACACAGTACAGAGTGCAGGTAAAGATACACAGTATAGAGTGCAGGTAAAGATACACAGTATAGAGTGCAGGTAAAGATACACAGTATAGAGTGCAGGTAAAGATACACGGTATAGAGTGCAGGTAAAGATACACAGTATAGAGTGCAGGTAAAGATACACAGTATAGAGTGCAGGTAAAGATACACAGTACAGAGTGCAGGTAAAGATACACAGTATAGAGTGCAGGTAAAGATACACAGTATAGAGTGAAGGTAAAGATACACAGTATAGAGTGCAGGTAAAGATACACAGTATAGAGTGCAGGTAAAGATACACTGTATAGAGTGCAGGAAAAGATACACAGTACAGAGTGCAGGTAAAGATACACAGTATAGAGTGCAGGTAAAGATACACAGTACAGAGTGCACGTTAAGATACACAGTATAGAGTGCAGGTAAAGATACACAGCATAGAATGCAGGTAAAGATACACAGTATAGAATGAAGGTAAAGATACACAGTATAGAGTGCAGGTAAAGATACACAGTACAGAGTGCAGGTAAAGATACACAGTATAGAGTACAGGTAAAGATACACAGTATAGAGTGCAGGTAAAGATACACAGTATAGAGTGCAGGTAAAGATACACAGCATAGAGTGCAGGTAAAGATACACTGTATAGAGTGCAGGAAAAGATACATAGTACAGAGTGCAGGTAAAGATACACAGTATAGAGTGCAGGTAAAGATACACAGTACAGAGTGCACGTTAAGATACACAGTATAGAGTGCAGGTAAAGATACACAGCATAGAATGCAGGTAAAGATACACAGTATAGAGTGCAGGTAAAGATACACGGTATAGAGTGCAGGTAAAGATACACAGTATAGAGTGCAGGTAAAGATACACAGTATAGAGTGCAGGTAAAGATACACAGTACAGAGTGCAGGTAAAGATACACAGTATAGAGTGCAGGTAAAGATACACAGTATAGAGTGAAGGTAAAGATACACTGTATAGAGTGCAGGTAAAGATACACAGTATAGAGTGCAGGTAAAGATACACTGTATAGAGTGCAGGAAAAGATACACAGTACAGAGTGCAGGTAAAGATACACAGTATAGAGTGCAGGTAAAGATACACAGTACAGAGTGCACGTTAAGATACACAGTATAGAGTGCAGGTAAAGATACACAGCATAGAATGCAGGTAAAGATACACAGTATAGAATGAAGGTAAAGATACACAGTATAGAGTGCAGGTAAAGATACACAGTACAGAGTGCAGGTAAAGATACACAGTATAGAGTGCAGGTAAAGATACACAGTATAGAGTGAAGGTAAAGATACACAGTATAGAGTGCAGGTAAAGATACACAGCATAGAGTGCAGGTAAAGATACACTGTATAGAGTGCAGGAAAAGATACACAGTACAGAGTGCAGGTAAAGATACACAGTATAGAGTGCAGGAAAAGATACACAGTACAGAGTACAGGTAAAGATACACAGTATAGAGTGCAGGTAAAGATACACAGTACAGAGTGCACGTTAAGATACACAGTATAGAGTGCAGGTAAAGATACACAGTATAGAGTGCAGGTAAAGATACACAGTACAGAGTGCACGTTAAGATACACAGTATAGAGTGCAGGTAAAGATACACAGTATAGAGTGCAGGAAAAGATACACAGTACAGAGTGCAGGTAAAGATACACAGTATAGAGTGCAGGTAAAGATACACAGTACAGAGTGCACGTTAAGATACACAGTATAGAGTGCAGGTAAAGATACACAGTATAGAGTGCAGGTAAAGATACACAGTACAGAGTGCACGTTAAGATACACAGTATAGAGTGCAGGTAAAGATACACAGTATAGAGTGCAGGTAAAGATACACAGTATAGAGTGCAGGTAAAGATACACAGTATAGAGTGCAGGTGAAGATACACAGTACAGAGTGCACGTTAAGATACACAGTATAGAGTGCAGGTAAAGATACACAGTATAGAGTGCAGGTAAAGATACACAGCATAGAATGCAGGTAAAGCTACACTGGTTAGCTGAATATCTTCTCCGCACACATGTGTTCCCAAATCTGGTTTGGTTTTGTTTCCGGACATACTCTAGTTTACCCCCTCCTCTCCCGTCCCCCTTTTTCCCCGTTCTATATTGAAGTGCTTAAAATAGCTCACCAATGTAGGTCGATGCTGCCTGGTACCGTGAAACTGGAGACTTAGCCAGTCGTGCAATAGCAGAGATTCCCTGTACACAATATGTAGACTGGTATTTCATCTTGAATACGATACATCGATGCACTTATGACACACTCAAGTAATATATAACACGCATTTTTTTGGATTTCCCTATATATCTGTGAAACATCCATTAAGTAGCTTTTTACCAGTTTCAGCAGAGACCACATAATACATCTATTATATGGTCTCTGGTTTCAGCAGAAGATGGTTATAAATGTGGATATTTGTTTTGTTTTTGAATAACCACAGCGTCACGTGGTACCGGCTATCCCATAGTTTAGGGCGAATTGACTTTCATCAAATGGTACATGTTAACCAGATAAAATAAACGAAGAATTGCTCGTTAAATGCTCGTATTGCTCGTAAGTCAGTGAGTGAGTGAGTTGGGTTTAACGCCGCTTTTAACATTATTCGTGGCAGCTTAATGTTGGAGGAAAGCCAAAAGTTATGCAGGTCTCAGACGTTTACCACTTCGGTGAAACCCACGAGCACGGGTTTGGTGCTGACAAACCTAAAAACATAATTGGGGCGAATCGCGATTCGGACCCATAATCATAGGTTCCTGGCGTCGTAATAATAATAATAATAATAATAATGATGATGATGATGATGATGATGATGATGATTATTATTATTATTGTTATTGTTGTTGTTGTTGTTGTTATTATTATTATTATTATTATTATTATAAAAATCTGGAGTTCAGAGCTGACCGCTAGCAACAAAGTCAAAGCCACAAATACTTATGCTGTGCCCGTCCTTTCGTATTCTTTTGGTGTTGTTGATTGGACGAAACAAGAAATTCAGGGTATTGACACCCTCACAAGAAGAATCCTGTTAGACAATAGATCCCACCACCCTTGCTCTTCCCTCAGTCGCTTATATTTACCAGTCATTGTGGGAGGACGTGATTTGATTAACGTTGGGGTTCTTCGTGATAGAATTGTTTTGTGCACTTTTGCACACATTTCTTGTCTGATGATCCTCTTGTGAAGCATGTCAAGACTCATGATGAAAACAAGGCATTCCGCAGATTTCTAAAACGAGCCAAGGATGTGGGACATACTCTCATATGTCGGTGTTGATTTTGTTGATGGTTCTCTACTGCTGGGCGGTACAGAAATGAGTGTCAACCAAGCGAAGTGCCATATCAAGTCGGCCCAGACTCAGTTTTTAAAGGAGAGGCTATCTGAACGACCGCTGCATCAAGTTTATGTGCAGTGTGTTGGGAAGAACAGCAATCCTGCAGAGTCCTTTGCTTGGATGAAGTCGTCTGGGCTGAAAAGTGAAACAGAAGGCTTTCTGTTTGCTGCTCAGGACCAGTCACTTCCCACTCGAAACCATCAATGTGTGATTTTGCATCAAAATGTAAATATGAAATGTAGATTATGTAATGAATTTAATGAGACTGTCAGACACATTGTCAGTGGATGCCCAGCTTTGACACAAACACAGAATCTTAAACGACATCATGGTGTAGCTCGATCATGTTATTATCGTCTTCGCCATGCTTGTGGTTTTGACAAAGAGGTCCACCCAGGGTACGACCCAGAATATGTAGAGGGCGTCATGGGAAATGATAAATACAAAATTCTTTGGAATAGGCCCATTTACAGCCTCAGACGTATCCAGGCCAACAAACCTGATCTTGTCCTTTTTGATAAATCCAATGAAATCATTTATATCACTGAATTTTCTGTCCCCTTTGACCCTTATGTTGTGTGCAGTTTGATATCTAAATTGAAATTAATAAGATAATGTATGTTTTACGAGTAAGTAAGCAAGCACTTACAGTCAACCGTTAAACGTTTGCCAGGCTGTACATCAGTGTAACAAAGTACTTAATGTACCGAATAGTCCTTTAACAACCTCCCCAAGGCTAGACGTGTGTTTGTTATCGGTCCACAAAGAAGTCAATATTTTCAGTGCGTGGAAGAACTCGGTTATCACACATGTAGGCAGAACGCGGTGCTCGCTGTCGTGTCCAACACTCTCTTTCACACAACAAACAGTCCACAGCGCCGTCAGCCGGGCGACACAGTCTACTCGCAAACAACGAGTTGTAAAATTTGAATTTGCAACAGAATACCATTGTCTTATTTCTCTTCGTTAACAGTGCAGTGGGCCGTGTCAGTTGTTGAAAACTTCAAAACGTCTTGGTATACACCTACGGAGAAGGATGTCATCGGCGGTCAACTTCCCCAGCCTCATCACCAAGAAGAGGAATAAGGAGGAACTGAGTAGGGATGACATCGAAGCCTTCGTCAACGGCATCGCTGACGAAAGCGTGCAGGACTCCCAGATCGGTAGGTAGGGGCTTTAGGGAGATTGTACGTGTTGGCGAAGGCGGCTGCGCAGCCATTGTACCATTCATGCAATACTTGTGTACATAGAGTGCATGTGGGGTTCAGGCATTTTAGTTATAAGGTTTGATCAAACATCCACGTGTACGGTGTGTCATTCATACCAGGTACTATTATTGGCCATTTATTTACATATTGCATACTGTGGTACTGCTGTAGTCGGTCATATATTCAGTTATGCAATATCTGCCTTGACATATATATCTGGTACTGCTGTAGATGGTTGTATATTCAGTTATGCAATATATGCCTTGACATATACATGTATATCTGGTACTGCTGTAGATGGTTGTGTTTTCAGTTATGCAATATCTGCCTTGACATATAAGGTACTACTGTTTTTGGTCACATATTAAGTCATGCAATATATGCCTTGACATATAAGGTACTGCTGTTTTTGGTCATATATTCAGTCATGCAATATATGCCTTGACATATAAGGTACTGCTGTTTTTGGTCATATATTCAGTTATGCAATATGTGCTTTGACATATATATGAGGTACTGCTGTAGTTGGTCATATATTCAGTTATGCAATATGTGCCTTAATATATAAGGTACTGCTGTAGTTCGTCATATATTCAGTTATGCAATATCTGCCTTGACATATAAGGTACTGCTGTAGTTGGTCATATATTCAGTTATGCAATATGTGCCTTGACATATATATGAGGTATTGCTGTAGTTGGTCATATATTCAGTTATGCAATATGTGCCTTGACATATAAGGTACTGCTGTAGTTGGTCATATATTCAGTTATGCAATATGTGCCTTGACATATAAGGTACTGCTGTAGTTGGTCATATATTCAGTTATGCAATATGTGCCTTGACATATATATGAGGTATTGCTGTAGTTGGTCATATATTCAGTTATGCAATATGTGCCTTGACATATAAAGTACTGCTGTAGTTGGTCATATATTCAGTTATGTAATATGTGCCTTGACATATATATCAGGTACTGCTGTAGTTGGTCATATATTCAGTTATGCAATATGTGCCTTGATATATAAGGTACTGCTGTAGATTGTTGTATATTCAGTTATGCAATACATGCAATGACAAACATTAATTTTTTATGTCAATAATTATAGATATACAGAGGCTAACCCAGTCCTTTCATGACATACAACGTCTGTTTCATTGAGAGTATGTATACATATTTTCGAGAATCAATCATTAAAGAATTCATCTATCCATTTTCACGAACAGGCAAAGAAACTGTAAAAGAAAGGATACACCTATGTTTGATGGTGGCTAAAAATTAAAAAAACCAAGAAATGGTTATTCGTCATTAACGTCTTTAATACGAGTATCACATCACATGCATCCTGTCAATGCCTATCTCACAACATGTGACGTGCATATGACGGTCCTCAAGGAACAAGGGGGTCGCAATTTCACAGTACACGTTAATGTTTACTTTTACCCTGTAGTTTACCGCACACATCTAGTTAGATCTAGCTCTTTTTGACTGGGCCTGGATAGAAAGTAGTGACAATTCATTAACGTATTTCCCTGGTCTAGCCCGTATCCAGCCCGTATCTACCCGTATTTGCATCTTCTATCGTTGTGCATTGCATGTGTTTCGTGTGTCCATTAAATAAACATGGCGTTGGTCTAGGTAGCACGTCACAGGTGCATATGAAACACCAACATTTTTCACAAACCGTTTTGGCACCTGGACATATAATCTCGAAGGAAACACACCGTATCACAAGTAAGGATTAAAAATATGGATGAGCAACTTCTTTATCACATTACGGTACGACGTTTCATCCTATATATCTTATCCTTACAAAGTACTCCAACTGCCAAATGCTTCTCAAAGACACCGTATACATTTCTCATCGCTTTTTTCAATTTACTTCTACTTCATCAACGGTAAATTATCAGCGAGGAGCCTTCTTGTAAGGATATGTGTCTGAAGTTTTATTGCAATGGCAACACTTTTTGTATACTCTCGGTGGAACGCCGCTTCACCTTCTCGTCAAGCAGAGGTTCTTATGATATCATAATAACAAAATATTGTATATATTTAAAAATACTCTTTTCAACAACGACTTTTAATTCTCCAGCCGATATTTGAAATGACAAGGCCAGGAAATCATTTTACTATGAATGTGTGAGAGAGTAAGATATCGGTTTGATTTGATGAAATAATCGTCATGGTGAAGTATAACTATAATTTCCTCTTGATATTACAAGCCAAACTATGTCCAGGTCGTTGTTGTGACTTCCATCTGTTACAATCGTCACACAACTGGCGACATCTGAGCCAGTGTTTTGTCATCTGCTTCATGACGATATAATACGGTCACCCAAAGTCACACAAGGTCACACGGGGAAATTAACCTCTATCTACACACATGTGTTAACAAAAGGAATAGATTTCAGTTGGTAACGGTCAATATTACACAGCCACAAGATCGGAATCTTTAACGCATGTCTTACTTCGCAGAACAAGAGGGATATATATGAGTTGTTAATTGTTGATAATACTGATATCAACTGATTAATGTCTATTGTATAACCCTAAATATATTAGGCGTAATCCTGTTTAAACAACACTCCTTTACAACCCCCTACGTATCTTCTATGTTAAATAAGGTCACACGTCAGCCGGTATTGACCAGACCAGATGGCCGACATCACAAACAATGTTCCCAGTAGCAGGAAATCTATTAGTAATAAATATACACACCTGGGCCCACTTGCACAAAGCGATCTTAACGCTAAGACTATCGTAAGCCTATAAAGTATGGGATCATCTTAGCGCTAAGATTGCTTTGAGCAAGTGGGCCCTGGAGAATAGTAAAGCACGGCTTTCTCTATATGTCCAAGTAAAATAATCATTTTGTAAAAGAAATCCTGTCCTGTTTGCAATTATCGTCCTCCCTGGTAATAGTGATGACTTTCGTCGAGCGGAAAATATGGCATTATAAACAGTGTGGCATTATAACTAGGAAGTGAAACTTTATCTTTAATACTGACATGATATGTAGAACATTAACTAAGAAAAAAACCCACATCCATTCAACCCAAACTATTTATTCAAACGGGACTTCATAAAATACTTTACCAACCGCGCGCGCGTGTGTGTGTGTGTGCGTGCGTGCGTGCGTGCGTGCGTGTGTGTGCATGCAATGTTTGTTGCCATGTGCCCCTATGGTATTAGGGCAGTGTATGTTGGCAAATAAAAAACGTCAATGGCTTGGAGGAATTATATGCTCCTCTGGTACACCTATCTGCTCCTTGTTTGCTTGGCTGTGTGTACAATGTAGGTTGTCATACCGGTACACAGTCTATGTCGCTTGGTTATTCCGCCTATCGTCATTTGAATTACATAAAAAAATCAAGGTCGTGATTATGTAGCGGCCATAACATTTCCGAATCCAGTGATGGCATTCGAACCAAGGACCTTCTGATCCGAGGTCGGGCGCCTTGTCCACATGACCAAAGAGGTTAACCCCGTCAGCTTGCTGACAAGGTAAGGATGTCATCTGTGGGATGACTCCACGCCCTGCTACAATTAGGTTGGCGAATACCAGACACCGCGCGCCGGCAGCCAGTTCTCGGAAAGCGTTTTGTACCGGTTTGATATCTGCTTCTCGGAAAACATTTTCCAAATAAGGAAATGTCATGACGAAATTACATAGTTATTACATCACACCCATGATTCAATCGCCCTGGTTCCCTACTCTTATATTCAGTTCAAGGTGGACACTTGTTGGTACGAGGGTTGATTGATAAGTTCTCAGCTTTACATAGAAGGATTAACGTAATACTAACTTTTTTGTTTTGGCGATTACAGGGGGTCATAGAGGTACAGCCACAAAAACGTGGGTCAATCGAGCAAATTGTTTGACTGTGCCAAGTCAGTAAAACAAGCAGGGGTCTGTGGCCTTTGAAAAATGGACAAACTTTGGGAACGTGCAGTGATAACGAACTTGCTGAGAAAGGGCTTAATACCAAAGGCCATCCTAGGCGAGAGGAGTACAACAATAGGGTAGGATGCCCCGCCCTAGGGAACGGTAAAGAAGTTGGCAGCACAGTTCCAGCCTGGCCAGAAGCCTTGTCATGGCTACATTCGTCACGTGAGGCTCTGAACTCCTTCAACAGAGCCTTGTCATGGCTACATTCCACAAGTGGAGCTCTGAACTCCTTCAACAGAGCCTTGTCATAGCTACATTCCACAAGTGGAGCTCTGAACTCCTTCAACAAAGCCTTGTCATAGCTACATTCCACAAGTTGAGCTCTGAACTCCTTCAACAGAGCCTTGTCATAGCTACATTCGTCACGTGAGGCTCTGAACTCCTTCAACAGAGCCTTGTCATGACTACATTCCACACGTGGAGCTCTGAACTCCTTCAACAGAACCTTGTCATGACTACATTCCACACGTGGAGCTCTGAACTCCTTCAACAGAGCCTTGTCATAGCTACATTCCACACGTGAAGCTCTGAACTCCTTCAACAGAGCCTTGTCATAGCTACATTCCACACGTGAAGCTCTGAACTCCTTCAACAGAGCCTTGTCATAGCTACATTCCACACGTTGAGCTCTGAACTCCTTCAACAGAGCCTTGCCATAGCTACATTCCACAAGTGGAGCTCTGAACTCCTCTAACAGGGCCTTATCATGGCTACATTCCACAAGTGCAGCTCTGAACTCCTTCAACAGAGCCTTGTCATGGCTACATTCCACAAGTGCAGCTCTGAAGTCCTTCAACAGAGCCTTGTCATGGCTACATTCCACACGTGGAGCTCTGAACTCCTTCAACAGAGCCTTGTCATGGCTACATTCCACACGTGAGGCTCTGAACTTCAACAGAGCCTTGTCATAGCTACATTCCACACGTTGAGCTCTCAACTCCTTCAACAGAGCCTTGTCATGGCTACATTCCACAAATGAAGCTCTGAACTCCTTCAACAGAGCCT